GCCATGATTTGGGTTTTCTACAACATATTTTTGCACGCTTGTACTGGATAAAGCAATTTTTCCTTCTTTTCTGTCCCATGTTTTCATATTTCCCTCTTAGTGACGACCCTTCACATTTCGAATCTTCTTCTGAAGGCGAAAGAGCCTGCATGTATGTGTAATCAGTTTTTTCAAGATGCTCCGATCAGTTCAGCTTTCACTCGGACTCGCCTAGACATTTCAGTTTGAATGGGTTGAATAGTGGCTTGCGTGGGCTTATCGACGATAAAATGATTGATCCCGAAGAATCAGACAGGCCTAGTAAGAACTCATCGATTGCGACAGAAAAGTAGGCCCAAAAAGGATTCAACAGAAATCGGCTGAGAATAGAAGATTGCTAAGTCGAGGTGGCCATTCAAAAAGAATTTATGTCGCCGTTACTGTTTCTAAACGCCGTTCTCGAATTCACACTCATCCTTTTTTCAGCGATTCTGGGAACGAAGTTACAGAACCGTTTCTCCTGTGTTCAGTCACGGGGTTACTGAGATGACGCAGTTGGTAGGACGGCAGGCTCATAGTAGCAACATGAAAGTTCTGATCCTTGATCTACGCGCTCATTTCGCCTTTCCGTAAAACGTTTCCTAAGCCTTTGGCCTTCCCTGCGACCTAGTATGCTTCCCTTGTAGGCGAAGCATAGTTCCTCTAGCGACTGCCCAACGGGAGGCCGTCATTACTCTTGCCGATCAGGTAGAATTCGCAGGAATGTAGAACCTGTTAGGGTTGGATTCAATAGCGAAGGATACTCCTATCACGAAACGTGTACCATTTCCATGGCATTCCGTTAGCTCGGGTGAAATTATAAATAGAACGGGACATATGTAGGACATAGAAATTCATCGATATAGTCTAATTTGGTGGCTTCGGGATGGGCCATGAACCCGTTTTTACCCTGTATTTGTTCATGATTCTCAAATATTGCTGCGTATTGAAAAGAAACAGTTGGCTAGAATATTTATTTGACGACGAGAATGTAGATCAGTGTGTATAGGTATATGTAGGTGCATATCTGGTGCCAGTTAGTGAGAATGCATCATATCTGCTCTGTTAACGGCAATATTGCTCCGAGAAGTTAAAAAAACTTTTCTAATTTCGGATTCTTCAATCATCATCTCGAAAGGACTTCATATACATATACAAGTGCACACGTTCTATGTTACTCTGTTTCGCTTCGAGGAGGATTGATAGGAGTAAAATATGGGGGTGATGATAGAATTATGATGTTTTTAGTGCATGCAACAAATCCCAGAGAGATGGAGAAAATAGCCCCGTGCCGCGAAGCGCGCGGTTAACGCTCTGTGATGAGCTCGCAGATCGAGGCGAATGAATTTGGCGTTGATGTATGTATATGTAATCATCATATAGAGAGTTAGGGGATACCGATATCTGAGGGTTGGCAACATGGTACCAGTTTAGGCTGAGATCTCGCGATAAGCGAATGAATGAACACGATGAACACGACGAGAAGAATGGGAGAATGTAGATGGAATGAAAACAGGAGGGGGGGNCCCAACGGGGAAGAATATACCGCTACTGCGTTGCCCACTCCTTACGAAGGGAGTGTGACAACGTGGTAGGCTGGCTCTGACTCTCAGATACAGCTCCCCTTAGAGAAGGGGTCGTCAAAGGGGACGACGGACGGACGGATGGACGTCAGACGGTGACATCGAGGGGAACGACGACGACACGAACGGACACAATCGATAGACGAGTAGTGGATGAGGCGCAGAAGAAGAGGAGGCTTCGATCAAGAAATAAACCACATTTCAGTGCATAATAAAAAAACGTAACAACAAGAACACCATTATGAGACATACGAAGACCATATAAAGTCATATAACCAATATATAATGTATACAATACTTCTTATTAAACTTTCAAAATATTCTATAACAATCACAATAATGAAAAATGGTCATAAGTAATAATAATACTCAGTTTATATGAAAAGGCGATGATAGCTCCCGAATATAAAGCGATGTGTGAGTAGTCTGTGTAATAGATGGATTGGGGTATGGTAAGTAGGAATAAAGTGGGGGGAGGAAACGACCTGATAAGTGCGGTGGCGATGACGATGTGAATCGGCGCAGCTCCCTGAAAAAAAGGGAATAAATTAGATCGATTGTTCTTTTCAGAACATCTTAAAGCAGTACAACAAGTACAGGCAGTACTACAAAGTAATGAGCAGGGAACAGAGGCCCCACCGGTGGATATTACTTTTGGGTTCGAGGTGTTTGTGCAGCCAGCGGCGTAGCTGCAAAGAGCAGCCGTAGCAGGATAACCTAATCTACCACTTTGTCAAGCTTCATTAGTCAACCGCTGAGTCGCCTTGGTAGGTTCTCAGATTAGCCTCGATATTGGACGGCTCCAATCCTTCTACTGTCACAGATGGAAGTCGAGCGCATGGCCCATCCATGAGAAAAAATGAGCAAAATAGCTATCCTTTTCCTTGAGCAAAATTGAGCATCGAACAATGCTTCAACAGCATCCCCACATTAAATATCATTCTGAGGCTTTGGGGAAATTAAGCCAGTTCTAATTTGTATTCAGCGGTCTGAAATCCAATTACAGCTAATGGGCATTCGACCCCTTCGGGCAATTCCTCATACATTAGAAGCGTTAAATTATTCAACGCACAATGGCATCGTCATCGTTTGAGCTGATTAATCAAATGAGCTCGAAAGAACTGTACTGATTACCCAGGAAGGCTGTGAACATCTATTGCTATCCCTAGATTCGCTCGCCCCTTCTCTTTCCCGAAAATACCCCGATGGGAGGGGAGGTAGTAGTCGATTGCGGTGGCTCAGAAATGACAATACGTGTGTATCATCGACGTGACGTCCAATTTCTCAAGCATCTCATTCTTAATACGACGTATTGTGCATTCGTAATTGGCCACCCCCCATCACGGCGACCGACTGGCCGGCTGGCCAGACAGCAGCAGCATGCTGCCCAGCCGTCTGCTGCTACTGCCAATCCTCGAATAGCCGCCTCGAACTCAATTATATTTCCGCGCTCACCAAGCATGTCACCCGCTCTCCCTCAATGCCCAGGTAAACAGCGACAAAGTGCACACAGCCCCCCTCCCAACTAACGGATCCTGATGTGTATACGGCTATAGGTATTCAGTGGTGCACTTGGATGGAATACAACCTTCTTTCTGCCCCGTAGGCTCCAACTTATACACGGGCAGAGGATGTCAAGTTCATGTGAATCCCTGCATAAAACCAAGACGTCTATTCACAGATGCACTTCACTGTGCGATGTGCTCGTTTCAGGCACTTCATGTGTGTGTGTGTGGGGAGGATCGATTCAGCGAAAAGTACAGTAGCGCGCATATCAGCAAAGCGCATCCCCCTGTGCTGCACTTTACGAGTCATCTCTTCGTCGCTCCAACCAACACTTGGGCAAACCCCAGCATTTTGATTACATTGCAAGAGTAATTCAGCCAAAATACCAATAATCGCTGGAGAAAGCGAAAGATTTTGTTAAATTCCCTATAGGGGCCCACTTACAGCTGTCGATTAAATATTGGTACAAGAAATCTGCTCCACCTTCCTCCCAAAGTATGAACTTACAAAGAATATTTGCTGTCACTGCTAAAATGAGCGGTACACGACAGCCTACCCGATTTGCTAGGGGTTGTTCCTACTGTCAAAGGACACATCAATTTTCTGTTGTAGTGCAAGTGAACCTGCTCCGAATACATTGAGTTTTTCTGACGCGTATAGGCCAAACATTACATCACGACATCACCACCACAACCACCAGCACAGTGCAAGTGAACACAATACCTCAGATTTATAATAACATGAATGCAGATCAGGGGAATTTACAAAATACATTAATATTGTGGACGATGATGATACATTGCTACTAATGGGGGATGGGTCGTATTTCATTGCTACAATGTTCATAGGTATAATATACAAAATATGCAAATGCATTGATAGAGTCACACTATGATATATCTGAATAAAGCAATCCGAGAATCTTCAACAATAATAGAAATGTGATTAAAAAATTTCTGGTATTCAATTTGTTTTTTGGGGGGTGGGAGTTTATCGGCAGTTTAGAAAGAAACGACGAAATTGAAGAAGTGTAAGAATGAAGGATGAAACGTATGCTCTGCACACGTATATACTCTCAGCAAAAAAATAAACTCTGATAATGGAATGATAGCACAGTTCACACGTGTCTCAAATAAAACGCTCCGTCTACATACAGCTCTGGTTAATTTTCTTAAGTAATCTGGGTATATATGTGTAGATATGAGTCATTAAATATTCAACACATATTTAAATAAATAATAGGCAATAATCAATTGGTTAGAAAAAAAANNNAAAAAAAAGAAGGGCGGGGTAACCGCTACACGTAAATATATTAGTTAGGTGATAATACTAGTAGTACCCTCTATGTACTCGTGACGTAAAAATGGAGGTGTAATAGAAATGTAGGCAGCGAACAAGATACATAAGCATTCACAACGACATTACAACACCGTGGCCTACCGAGTTCGGACCTCCAATAGAATAGTAAGGAGTTGCAACTTGTACGCATCACACGGTGAGCATCGCCACACCTTTTGCTTCTGGTTCACGAGGTGCGTCGATGTCTGCCCAAATCGACGACATCAAGTTATAAGCGGTTGAGGAAATGCTGAAATGAAAGCCATGCTTAAGTGAGATATGAATGTGTGGGGGCGTATAAAATTGTAGGGTCGTTACACTTGAAAGGAAACGAAACGACTTACTTGTTAGGGGGCGAATCGCCTAGTCCCTCATCACGCTGGCTAGAAGGAATTTGTTGACCGCAAGACATCGACCCAAATCCAGAAGACCAAAGTGAAGCTCCCGACAAGACTGATGAACGATTAGAGAACAGATCTGAAAGAAGAACAGCTATATAAAATCGCAAACCACCCAACAAAATATCCTAAGAGTTGCAAAACAAATTTCTCCGAATCAACGTAAAACCAAGTTATGAAGGAACTTACCAGAAGTTTCATTCAATCCTAGTCCCGTGTACAGGTTGTTAGACCACGGTTGGAAAGCAGTTGAAGTCGTACTCGAAGACGATGAACCAAAGAATGATGGAGATACCGCTGGTGGAGATCCCCCAGCAGAATATGACGACGGTTTCGTTGTTTGTGGATAACTTCTCAACTGAAAATGCCGAAGAATGAGCAACATTTATAAGCAAGAACCTTTGTGAATGAATCATGACATACCAATCCAGATAGACCGTTATATCCATTCCTGTCCATAGGTCGCGGATATTCAGGATAATTTTCATTGCCAGTTGGACGACGAACCATCGGTTGTGCTAAACTTCCGTATGCTGATCTTGCCGCTGCTGAAGCGGATGCCGCTAATGTGAGGTTATTCTAAAAGATAGCATTCATTAGCTGCATTTTAGAGCTTGACAGCATTACTTATAGCTCCGAATACAGCAAGTTGTCTTACTTGCATATTTGAGTACTGAGTGATAGACGCCTCTGGATCTGTCATGGGCATATTTCCAGTGCGTTGATAAATGTGTTGTTCTATTTCTTTACGGGCTGCCTCAACGTTCTGTGGCAATCCGGTGACCTAAAATGATATGAATGTTAGATTTCAAAAAAAAAATCAACTGTCGTAATATACATTTTGCAATATATCAGGGTGAAACTCGTCCGAATCCTCTCGTGTCAATCAGATTCTCTTGACGTCTCTGTTTAGGATGATTTTACATTCATTGCAATGTCAGTCGAAGAGCAATAGAGAACTTCTAACTTAAAATAGTGCAATACTTAAGCGCTATACATTTTGTATGAGAAGTTAATTTATACCCAATTATTATAGTGGATATGCAGATGTAATGAATATCCCGTTAGCAACCTAATGGACATGACACATTGGTAGACGGAGAGTATGCGGTCGACAGCGTAATGACACGCTGTGATTATCGCGGAAAGTAATTAGCACCCCTGCCACACGAGTTGCTCTAGCCGATGTCACAGATTAAAGATAGCGAGATTTGGTCATCCTTGTACAGCAGAAAGGTCACGAACACCTCTATCTGTTATGCAAGGAAAAGTGTGACGAGTTGTAGACAATGGTGCAAATATTTATAAGAAGCAGTTCATGTTTACCTCAAAGATTGGTTCTCTTTCACGACTGGGCGTGATGATATATGTGTGAGTGTCTTGCTGAATCCTTTTGATCGTCGCTCCTTTCGGTCCAACGACCAATCCTACAACTCGAAGTGGAACACGAACGTACAAAGTAACATGCCCGGGTGCAGGTGCTCCACCTGGAACAATTTTATCTTTCAGGTGTAAGTTTCAAATATAATGAAGTCAACACGATGGAAGGACACATTGATGGCATTAGTTAAGACGCACCATGTGAATGACGTCGGCTGGCTCGAATTTGCGTGAAGTGCTCAGCAGCACACTCAATTTCCCTTTTCGCTTCGAGTACGTCTTCCGCCTTGCCAGTAACCACAAAGACTGGGTCCTCGCCTCGTATTGGCGTTTTGATGTAGGTGTTGGTCTTCGCTCGGAGAGCTTTGATCTTGCATCCTGAAAAAAAAAACCGATGCGAAACCCAACACGCTGTGAATTCGGGAAGTTTATTCGACACTGGGGACTGGAAGCCTACTTAGTGGAACAACCCAAAAAGTCGATTTTGTTTATTTATCCGTTTACACCTTGGCAGTGCCTTCCCGAGTGCACCCTTCCCTTCGTCATTTTGATATGAAGTTTCGATAAAAGGATGCGTCGCTGAGCGTAGTCTATTCTATTCAACTTCACATTCGGGCATGATTCAGCTGTATCTGAACACGTGTAACAACACCGATATCGTCGTGCCGCCCGCCATGTTTCACGTCCACACTACGATGACAACCGGCTTCGCCTGGCAGCGACAATCAGGAAGTGCTGGGCGTCCAGGTAGCTGCAGCAACTCATGCATGACTGCCTCCCCCTGGCCGTGTCTCATGCTCAATCGATATGGTCAACGGCTGGTCACTCAGCGCGTAATCCCTTGCCTCGTCGTCCTCATCTACATAGCAAATACTATTTCTCACCATCTGTCCGCGTAAATATTTATTCCTAATGTCATACGAGACATTCGGTCCCGCACGCTCTTCCGATCCCCCTTTTCATAAACAGCAACTCTTCGAGCAGAGACGAGGAGCTACTCTCGACACGCACACATCTTGCCTTATATAGTCCGCTACAACTTTGATACTGAAGTGACCGAATAATCGCTGACAGCCAAAGATTAAGACCAGGTGATATCAGTAAATAATATTTCGGGGGAAACAGATAGGCACGATGAGTTTGATGGACTTTGGACATCACCTCAAATGCTTCTCCCATAACCTACAAATAAGTCGTGTGGGAGATGTCTGAAACATGTTCTGACCAAACTTTTGCAACTTCCAGTTTCCCAGCAACACGATGATCACCTACCTTGAGGCATATTGAAGCAGACTCAGTTAAGGTATGCTTTAGAAGCTAGCATTTGTTTAAAGTTTAGAAATTTTGAAGTGAATGAGCCCAACATTCAGCGAAAGGAATGGTGTGGGTAAATTAAAGCTCAGTATTCAGGACTCAATCGTATCACGACAAAAAGCGAATTAGAAATATTGGACTACTTTTCGGGTCCCGAGTTCAACACGCTTGTTCCCAAGAAATGAGGGCGAAACTTGTCGATTACAGAACATTTATAACAGTACTTTCGTCAAACACTACATGAAAGCCGCCGCACTCGAGAAAAGCCAAGAGTTTCCGAGAGCAATCTCCAATAGCATCGTTAGGAGATCGTCAAATATATTCGGGAGTCATGCTGCTTTCATGACTTCCCCTATACGCCCCCCAATCTGGCAGCCTGTCAGTTGCAGCTTGCAAACTTTATAGCCGTTTTATGGGTAATCCCCACAATTTGACCGTGCTACCCTGCAGACCATTAAGTACTGCTCTTCTCCTACTCGTTGAGAGATTACAACTTCAGTCGAGTACTTGCTCTGTGATGCCCCGAAGTCTTTGACCCCTCTATCAAATTCACTGCTAGAATTGCTATTCCAACATGGGTGTTATGAAAGGTAAGCAGAGCGCGCAATGAAATAGTACAGACTCGATGTGTAAACACCAGAGACGCAGACGATAAAGGCGCCTGGTCAGGGACGGAGAGCAACTTGCGGACGACCAAAGCTCGTCAACGCAGCGAGTCGAGGTAATTGCCGCTCACAACACACCATCGTGCGACTACCGTAGCCATACAAAAGTAGATCATACCCATGTTTAGGATGCTTTGAGTGGGGAGATTTTGTGGGAGTTTTACTGAAGGGACAGGTCACCAGGAAAACATCTTGCGCAGTTGTCATGGGTCATTGAGGAAGGGAACAAGGAAGCTTTACGGGCCAGCGTCAACTTCATTCCCCGTTCTTCGCGTCAACAAACGGTAAACATCCCACAACGAAATTGCCCGCAAAACTGTGCTGCTAGTCCGAACGGCGACCGATCAGCCATATCACCACCATCACCGTTCAATGAGAAAATCGATTCGTCATCACCAAAAATAGGCTAATATGGGAGAAGAAAGCACAAAAAAGAGACAAACAGGCAAACAGGAACACTATCGCGATACGACGGGGAATAGAGAGGCGAGGATGGAGAGCAAAGAAATGGACGACAAACCTTGTCTGCCGACGATTTCCGCGACATGCTCACTGCTTGGCACTTCGACACTTTCTGAGCAGTTCCTCGAACCGAGAATTCCTCGAAATGGTGCCATTTCATCGAGATCGTACGTGGGTGATGCGGATGCGTCGTCGCCCATCTCATAGAACCATGCCCCTGGTAGCTGGCCTTGGCACCCGGTTGACTCTTCCTTCATTCTGGAAAACACCAAAGTACGGGATAATACCTTTTCAAAACACAACCCTAAACAAATAAAAACATGAACATTGGCGATTTAGATGTTCAGACCGACATATGGCGACCGACTGATAACGGACTAGATAAGCGCGACAAATAAACATATAAAAAATCGCGCAGCGAGCAGTCAATCGTGTCAAGAGTGGGAGCCCCCGAAAAAGGTGATGAGATGGGAGATGTGGGAAGGAATGGACGACGAGGAGGACACGACAAGGACGTTAATGCACAGTGCAGAAGGCAGGACCCTGGATCGGGAAAAACTGCGAGATCAGCACAAACAGCGCAGACGCAAGGCGTGCGGCAATCGATAGCAGACCGCCTTACTTGACTCGCTCTCCGCTCTTCAAACTCGCTAGAAAACGCAAAAATAACACACGCCCAGAGGAGAGCGCCGAAGCAGCCAGGCGAGGTTCCTCTCAGCCACACACAGAAACACCCTCTGAGAGCAAGAACGGAAGGAGAAGATCGCTACTTGGAGCTGCAAACAATATGGGAATTGTCATGTCCGTCGGGGAGGTGACTGGCCGATTCGAATGTGGGCAAAAGCCGCCAGCCGCCGCTGCCACCCCGCCGCCAATTGCCGCGGCGACGGCACAGGCACGCGCGCGACCCGCGGTCGTTCACGATCGCGCGCCAGTAGATCAAGTGCCCAGATCATGACGGTCCTGTTACGGCTCAGCACCGCCCATGGGGCAGAAGTGTTGGGAATTTGTTGTGAGGAGTAGCAGCAGGTCCGGTTTCTCGGCACATCGACCTGTCACGCCTGCTACAGCTCAAGCGCAAAGCCCCACGGGAACACGCGCTAAATCTTGCGCCAAACGAGCCGGCGGTCGAATTAGATAAGCGCTTCACTGCTGCTGCTGCTGCTGTTGCAAGCCTATGTGAAGCATATCGTGATTGCAGGGATTCGATGACTTGGCTGGGCACTAACTCAACCATGCCAGCAGACGTTACTCTTTCTCCCTCTGAGAAGTTGCCGTCTCAGAGCCATTGGCCGTCTCCTAGTCACCGCCACCGTAATGGATATGATGTAGTTGGCGCATTATCTGCATAATTGGAAGCCATGCACGGAGGCAGCGGAGAGTGCGAGACATGGGCCAGACCACGGGCGAAGCCAGTCAGAAGTCAAAAGAGGCAGACGCTGGGGTGGCGAGGGTCAAAAGCTGCAACCGGGCTGGGTATTGTTGATTGCGGAGCTAGCCGTATGTAATTAGGAAGAGGGTAATTGGTATACGGACGGAATACAGCAGCTCAGCACGCCATCTCGGGTGGTTGCCGTTTTGCAGGCGATTCGACAGTAGGCGGAATGGCACCCGCTGCGATGTGAGAGCGGCATCAAGCTAACAGGGAACAGTGCATGTGAGAGCAGAGTGTTGGAGTGGGGGGTGAACAACGAAAAAAACGCCCAAAGCACGGAGTGGGCAGGGCTTCTCCTCCTCTCAGCCAGCGGACAATTGCCTATGGCTGTGCCAAGTCAACACCGCCGTCACCGCCACACTGGACACTGGCCACACCACAACAGGAAGAAGTGGGCAGGAAAGGGGGGGGGGGGGNACACCCACACCCACACACACGTCTACTCACGCACTCGTACACACACAGGCATATTCGCACAAAGAGGGCTGCACGGCGCAAGGTCGTCTTTGGCATTTTTAGTCGAGGTTGTCTTTCGAATTCACCGCCAATGATGACATAAGAAACACTTACCCGAGCATCAGTTCGAGCTCCCCGCTGGAAGTGCCGCTGTCGGAGGCGCACTTGTGTTGCTCGAATTCTGAAAATATCCACATTGTGTCAATGTGAACCGCTTGAAATGAGTGAAAATTTACGAAAATGGAGAGGGATGGCCTGCAGCCCCGTCCCCGGCCGTCAGCTAATTGCCATGCGAGTCCATCGCGCAGCGATACTTTGGAACTCGCGGCCTAAATGCGGATGGATCGTCCTCGAATTCGACGACTCGAATCGCCGTCACCGTCACCACCACAAAAGGAAGTAGGCGAGGGACAGACGATGACGGGAAGGGCTGGGAGGCAAGAAAACCAGGTAGAGAAATCATAGGAAGAGGGGCACGATGAGAAGCTCAGCTAGCAACCCGAAAAGGCTGCTGCAACCAAGCTTCCCATCCCCGCGCAGCACGACGTACGACGATTGCGTGTAGCGATACCAGTTTCGTCTAGCGGTAGTGATCCGCCTACTAGCCCCAATGACGACGCTCACATGGACCGGCTTCTAGCCCTAACAGCCCCTTTCCTTCTCTCTTTCCACAACTGTACATGTTCCATCCATTAACTTCCCCCTGCGTGCCGTCTCGCCTACATGTGTTCTTGGGGATGGGCGTAAATCCTTGACAGTCTTTACTTGGTCGTCAACCGAACATTCGCCTCAATCATGGATTAGGCGATGATAGACGTCGCTCTAAGACGCTTAATCGGCCGAGGCCTGGTTGGGGCGCCCCGCTGAGTGGCCCGTCGGACCCCCGGTCTCCCCGTTTCCCAATGAATGGTCACTCTGACGGGGTGCCCAATTAGCATATACGCACGCAAATCATCGAATCTCTCACCCTTAACAGCCCATATACCAGAAGCATAACAAGCTGAAACACTTACGATTATCCTCGTTCAATCGAAACTGTGAGTAGAGCTGATAGGCAAGATTGTCTATGGCCTCATGGGATCCCGTGTGGAAACCGTCCTCACTGTCTCCTCGACTCGTCGAATACTGTAGCAGACCCGCCATTTTGTTTGAAATTTACGAGATAGGTGAACCGTCGTCGTCTCGTGCGGCGGCCGTGAGTGATCTGCAACAGACAGTGGCTGGTGAGAGAGAACAGCAGTGTGGGGAGTGTATGGGAAGCGAGTGACGGAGAGTGGGAACGGCGCGGATTTCGAAACGACGTCGATTGATGTTATCTAAGAGTGTGAATCAGAAGCAGCAGCAAAATGAAAGAAACGATGAAGATACGGAAAAGTGATTGGGTTGGAACGGTATCAATACACACACAGGAGCGAGGTGAACAATCACACGGACGGGGGGAGGAGAGGGGGGACGGGGGTGCGATGGCGGGCCAAGCACAGCAGAAAGAGAGAAGCGGGGGCGAACGAGAGAGGAATGACAGATTACTGCGAGCGAAACCCTGTTTCGCGAGTAATGGGACGATAATTGGACATGTCCACATACGCACACACAAAAGCGGTGTCAAGGCAGTTGGGCAATTCGAAGCACGTTTTCAAATGTACAGTTGGATTTGCTGCAATCCGGTCAGGCAGCAGCTAGCTAGCCGAGTCATATAAGGAAGAGACCATCTGGCGACTTGTGATCGGTCATCGTCGAGCAGCCCCAGATACATACACACACACAAACACCTGGACGGACGCTCGTTAGCAGCAGCAGCAGCAGGCAGCACCGACAGATGGTATCGATGCCCTCATGGGAGAGTCCGCGCCTGGGGGAACGGAGCACGCGCTGCTATCATCTCGTAATTCGCCTTATTTTGCTCCGATTCAGGCAGATAGGAGCCGTGCCAACCGGTGTCTTGTTGTTTTCTAGTCAGCAACTCATAAACAACAACAAACCAACTAACTCTAGCCTAAGCAACTAACCATGCAACATATTCACTGATCACATTAGAGAGGAATGGGAACGGTAGATATTGTACATAGTGGTCATGGCATACGAAATAATTCTCCTAAGAGAAATACCGTTTATGAGGAGGTATTGCATGTGGGCCAACACAGTTCGCAAGCAAACACTAGGTAGTGATGGCTATTTATTTAGCCTGGAATTGTCGCTAGTGGCAACGAACGAATGGAGCATCGATTCTACAGAAGTGTCACTACTCGACACGGTCACCGCAGCCGCAAAACGACAACGACAACGACGACGACGACGACAACGACAGACTATGGACGACGGACGACGGACAACACAGCCGCCGGTGTTTCTCACGCCGACTACGACGATGACCTTGTGTCGCATCAGCATGTTCGCGTTTTTCAGACGCATTGAGGTACGAAAGCCGAAGAACACAAGGAAACAACGAGAAATTCTGAAATGGCGATTTGAGAGTGTTGGTCGTAAGACAGACAGAGGGCGAGAGGGAGGGAGAGCTGAGAGGAGCTGGTGAGAGGCTGACGAGGAGGAGCGGCTCCCACGATACGAAGCAGCGCAAACGAAGGGCAACAACGATTGCTGGCGATGGCGGCCGAGCCGCACGAAAAACGATTTTATCTTGTCAAACTGGATTGAGCCATATGCAGCGAAACATTCACCAACCAGGGAAAGATGGCATATGATCAGGAAAAAGAAGCAAAAACTGGCTGATAAGGTATCGGAGAGCAAAGTAGAAGGAATGAGAAAAAGAATGGAAGCCTCTGTTTAGGTAAAGTGGCTTACTAAATGGGGAACAAGATGTTGAAGAGGCACGCGAGGTACGCGCAAGGGCCTGAAGGGCCACACTGGTCAGAGAGGGGCGGGGTAGCCATTGCCGTATAGGCGGGCCCCCACCTCGACAGCTGGCCCGTGGCAGACACAGAGACAGACAGAGGAGACACAGGCCATCAGGAGGAGTGAATCATCTCAAGGGGTAAGACAATGCATCGTCCGAATAAGGGATTCCGATTTGACACATACAGCTCACAGAACGAGCATAGATTCGAAAAGTTCTGAACTGAAGAGGTAGCTGAGGTGATTGGTATCCATCTGCTCGACATATGGCCGCGAACCCCTAAACAACACAAGAAACGTTCTGTGCTGTAACACCGTCGACTAGTTACCCGAAGATGCTGTCTACAGCTTCCCACCCCGTTAGTCCAATGGTCTGTCCTTTCTGAAGAAAATAGTGCTGCCTGATAGGTATTTTCTGAAGTCATGGCTGGCTCTTTTCCCGAACCGTCAATCGAGGCTTCGCTCATGCTGTCTATCAGACTTGTCGCTTTATTATCTAAAACAGGACTTTGAGAA